TTAATATTTCTCTTGCTCTTTAATAGTGTAGCAAAATTTGACTGCCATTTTGCTGTTTATGATATTTGCCAAAAAAATAAAAAGTCTCTTTGCTACTAGTAAAAAGCAATATGATAATAATGGTATTATTTAAGTATTATTATAACAGTAATAGTACTGATGGCCGATAACCTGACTTCTGCTCTTGGGTCTGCCAACCAAATATTTTTGGGGTCTTGGACAAGTCACTTCTGTGAATCTTAATTTTCTAACCTATAAAAAGGAGCTGTGAACATCTGGTCATTAACAAGGATGCTGTGCATATTATATATAGTAACACTTTTAGAGCACTTTAATTTGTTGCTATACCCCATTTGCACAGAGGTGTCGCTCTAGTAACAGTGGTTGCACCCTTGCCATATCCACCATCATCATTGTCATCATCATTATTGGCATAGACAAAGAAGAAGGTGCCCAGAAAAACATGACTAAGGGATACTTGTGGAACAAGGTAAGTAGGTTTCACAATGTATCCATTTCCCAGGGCTATCTTAAAAAAAGTACCACAAACTGGGTGGCTTAAAACAACAGAAATCTATTCTCAGTTCTAGAGGATGGAAGTCTGAAATCAAGGTGTCAACAGCTCCTTCCAAAAGCTCTAGAAGAGAATCCTTCCTTGCTGCTACCAGCCCCTACTGGCTCCTGGTGTTCCCTGGCTTGTAGAAACAATCCCAGTCTCTGCCTCTGTTTTCACATGGCCTGCTTCTCAGTGTGTCCTAATATCCCTTTCCTTCCTTTCATAAAGACACCATGCATTGGAGTTAGGGCCACCCTAAATCCAGAATGATTTCTTCTTGAGACGTCTTGAGATTAACCGCTTACATCTGCAAAGACCTTATTTACAAAAAAGTTCACATTCTGAGCTTCTGGACATAATTTTGTGGACATAATTTTGGAGGAATATTGCTACCTCCAAAGAATGGTAAAGGCTGACTGGGGACCTGTGTTGAGAAGAATGTTAAGGCTGAATTCAGGATTAGTAGGAAAGAATACCAGCGTCATGAGCAAGGTATGGGAAGTGGACACATACTTGTCATGTTCTTGTCATCACTAAGCACTTATCTACAAGGGAATTGAAGATTTGTCACACTGCCCCTGGTCACTCAGTGGCAAAGTTGCACTAGAAATAAAATCTCCTGACTCAAAATTCAGTGCTCTTTCCACTACACAATTTAATAATCTCTCATCTCAACCCCTCTCTAGAAGTTATTACTAAAAATGTAAATATAAGACCTTAAAAATTACTGACACCTTAATATTTATGTTGATTTAATCGGTCAGATTAGAGTCATTAAGAACCATTTGGCTGACTTCCATTTCCAGCTCTGATATCATACTAACCTTCCACCTGAGAAAAAATAAAAGCTGGATAAAATTTAAAGGGAAAACTTTGAAAGCTTTGAAGAATTGGGGGTAGAAGATATCAGTATACTTTAAGGGAAGTATTATAATCAACAAAGGACATTTCATGATGACGAAAGGTGATAAAAAGGGCCAATTCAATAGGAATATTTTGAAAAATTCTTAAATTTGTAAGCATCTAATAGTGTACCTTTAAATATATAAAGAGAAGAAATAGAATTAAAAGGACACATAGGCAAATCCATACTTATAGTCAGAAGTTTTTTAAGTCCCTGTTTCTCGTGAATGTAATAAGCAGACAAAAAATCAGTAAGGACATAGAAGATTGAACAAGATTAAAAAGCTTGACCTAATCGATATATAGAACCATTTACCCAATTACTGAAAAAGGCACATTCTTTTCAAGGGAACATGAAGTTTTACCAAAATTGAACATTTGCCTGGGGCATAGAGCAAGTCTACACAAATTTCAGGAGACTGAAATAATTTAGAGTATGCCCTTTGACCACAGTGGAATCCAGGTACAAATCAATCCCCCAAAATATAAATAGAAAAATCCCCCACATATTAGATTGTAGGCAAAGCACATCTAAATAATCATGAGTAAAAGAAGAAATCACTGTAAAAATCAGAAAATAAGTTGAAATAAATAATAATAAAAATACTACATGCTAAAATCTCTAGGATACAAAAAATAACTTATGGATTATAGTTAAAACAATCTGTTGAGGAACATTGAGAGCCTTGAATGCATATATTAGAAGAAAGGAAACACTGGAAAATTGATGACCTAGACTTTCCTAAGAGGAAGCTAGGGGGAAATACAAATTAAATCCACAGGGAGTAGAAAGAAAAGAATTTTTTAATGACAGAAAAGAACTATACCCAGAGAAAATCAACAAACCCTAACATTCATTCATCAAAAAGACTAATAAGGATTGATAAACTTCTAACAAAAATGATCACAATTTTTTTTAAAAAAGGAAGAGACAAACAATATTAGGAATGAAAAATATCCTACAGACAATTATAAATAAAATTAGGGAATATCATGAACAACTTTATACCAATACATTTAAAAATGTAGATAAAATGGCAAACTCATTGAAAAAAATAACTAATTTAAAACTGATACAAGAAGAAACAGAAAATATGAGCAGTGTTTCATTAAAGAAATTATTTTTTAATAAAACTATTCCTACAGTATAATCTCCATGGCTTCTCAATGAATTCTTCCTAATATTTAAATAAGAAATAATAGCAGTTTACCACAAACTCATTCAGGGATTAGAAATAGAGGGAAAATCTCTCAACTTGTTTAATGAGATCAGCATAAAGTTGATACCAAACCTGACAAAGGGATTACAAGAAAATTATGGAACAATCTGTCTTAGAAACACCCCCCCCCACACACACACAATATCCATCAGCTATGAGGGCAGATGAAACAGTCAGTGGGGGGACAGGGCTTATGCCATTAGTTTCTGCAGTTTCCTTCATTTCACTCTTCAGAAGGAGAGCAACTTTGTGCTTCTGAGGTAGAGACAAGTATCTTATTTACTGGAAAGAAGGCAGCATGGTAGGAGATGCATCTTTCTAAAGTCACAAATATTTATTAAAGCCACTGAGAAAGTAATGCTCTCTTTTTCAAAATTCATCATACTCTACTGGCAGTCCTCCATTCCAGGCCTGTCTCTATGAGTTAGATACTGCTAAGTTCAGTCCTGGTTCTGCCATTTTTGGCAAGGTGATGTTTAGTAAGTTATTTGGCCTCTCTTAGCCTTCGTGTTCTTGTATAAAATAATGGGTGAATGACATTTATCTGAAGGTAGTTCAGGGGATTAAATGAGATGATGGATGTGAAAATGCCTGTACACATAGAGTGGTAGATATTTTCCTGAAGCTGGAGATACTATTTGCATTATTTACTTACAGAATCTGTGCCACTTAAAGTCACTATTGTCTACCATTTTCTATTTATTAGGAGCAATAAATGCATGTCCCTAAAAGATTATCATTTATTGTTGCAGCTACTTGCAATGTATCTCTGTGTCCATCAGACTCATGTGGATTAGAATGCATTTGGTGCCTCTTACAACATGCTAGTTAGACACAATGGATAGACTGTTTGTGGTGGGGGTGGCAGTGTCCAGTATTCAATACAAGTGCTTTAAGTACTCCATTACAAATCAGAGAAAATATTCTGTTTTGGAGAATTACCTTGATAAAATCCTCTGGGGATGGATCGGAGTAAAGCAAGCCATGAAAGGGGCTTTGACTCATGAGACGGCACAAATTGAGGAAACTCAGAGAGTCCATATCTAACTCTGGGCTTAAATTTCCTCACCTACTCCAGACCCCTGTGACCTACATCTTTTTATCTTTGCAAAAAAATGTCCTTGCCTGGAACGCACCTTCCTCATATCCCTGCCTGGAAAATTCTTACTCATCTTTTAAAATCACACATTCATTCAATCAAAAATGTTTATGAAGCCCTTCATATGTATTGCGTGCCATACTAGGCACCATGGTTATTAGGATGGTGAGCAAAATCAGACCACGACCTCATTTATGTGCGTAGGCTCTGTACAGATGTCCCTGTCAATCTTGCCCTGGTTGCTCCCTCCTGGGTACTCAAAGCTCTGGGTGTACACAGTATTAGAGAATAATCTCTGTGTTCACATGGCTGTTTCTCCAGCCTGGAAAGGAGCTCCACAAGAGAAAGGCCTAATTCAATCATCTTTTCTTCCCCAGGGCATACCTCGGAGTCTGACATGTAGTGGGCATTCAATAAATGTTTGTTGGCTGAATCATTCATTATTCATGAGGCCTTGATACAGTCAAATCTGTTGAATGATTCTGCTAATGAATATGAGAGAAATTAAAACAATTACCCTCAAGAAAATTATATATTTTTGAGATATTCTTTGTTTTTTCCTATTTTATTAGATTTTATTAGTAGTCCTAGCAGCTATTTTAAATACTTACAAAGTTAACATCACTGATTTTTTTTAAAAGATGCACAGTATAATATAGTTTAAATTATGCCCAATAGCCTTTTCTAGTTTAAAATTATGAGAATTTGGGAGGCAAAACAGAATGAGCTGCCATTTAATTGGAAATAGCCATGCATGTGAATATACCAGAGGATTTGTTAGGTTTCTATACTAATCAATAATATTCACCTAGAAATGTTAAGTGGTAGAAGACATTCATGGAATTTGACTTCACAACACCGAAGTCTGGCACATCCTCCAAACGAAGATAACATTGTTTATTTAAAAACACTTAGTATAGATCTAAAAGTTTCCCGAAGTTTGTGAAAATGTGCTGAACTGTTCTTGAAAAAAAATTAAAGAATGAAAACAAGCAAACAAAAGAGCCTGTCATTACTTGTGCCGAAAAAGGAGAAGCCATTCTTTAAGTTGTGCTAGGCAGACCGTAGAGGTTTCAGCATAAATATTAGGGGAGCTTTGGAGATAAAGAGATGTCGTTTCTACTGACTTATTTTGAAATAAGTAAAATGTTTAGCCTTTTTTTTCACCATGCTATAAATTATATACAGAAGGACTGAAGGGTGAAAGCATGAAAGTACCTACTTGGTCTGGTGTTTGGATCCTTTCAGGTGGGCATGATACTGTTCTATGGAGTTTAGAGAGACACTGCAGATGGTACATCTGTAATTGCGCCTCAGACCTGTGGACAACAGACGGACTTGATTAGCTGCATCCTTGCCATCACTACCTGAATGAATCCCAGAATCTCTAGAAGTTCAGGACAGAGTATCTCACAGGGCATCTGGTCTACCCCACCAACACTTCAATCCTCCTTACAGAGCCCAGCCAACACCTCCCTTAGTAGAAGTTAGAAGCAGGCTGCTCCATTTCTGGATGCCTAAAATTATCAGGACGTGGTAAATTGAACATAATTTTAAAAAGTGGTCGGGGGGAGAACATGCTTCCTGAGATACAATGTTTCTGGACATTTTGTAACCCAAAGACAATTCTACTTTTTCCTTAAGGCATATAGACATGGTATGCTGTCATATCTGCAATGAAATTTGAGACTCCAGAGAAAAATTCTGGAACCCTCTTCCAATGGCAAAATCACAAATTCAACTTTAGACCTCATTCATTTGAATTCTTCCAGGAGCATCTTATAAAATGTAAATACCCAAGAGATGGATAATAATCTAATTCACATAAAAGCTTACTTTCCACCAAAGAGTTTAAAAGAAAGTTACTCATTAATTTGTTTATTAATTTAATTCATTCAATTCATTCATTAATTATTAACTTTGGACCAGGCACTAGGGATTCTGAGATGAATAAGATGCTTTTGCTTTCAAGGAGTTTAGTAAAAATGTTGACTTCTTTATAATATTGATTCATCTAGAGTCAAACGTGTTAGAAAGTAGCTTTAACCAAACTTTAAACATTTGCCATAGCTCAGAGACCCACATGAAACACATTCCTTCTGCTAGTGTGTCCCATCAGAATAGAGAGAAAAGTAAACTGTGAGTCATGATCTGAAAGTTTGAATTTAAATCTTGGCTCCAATCATTCCTGGTTATATGATCTAGGGGAAATCATGCAATTTCTTCCTGGCCTCAACATGAAGACAAAGCCATTCACATCACCAGGCTGCTTTGAGAATTAGGCAAATAAAATATATTAAAATGCTTATCAAGTGACAGTTGTTATTAATTTTGCTCCAACACTCTATGTCTTACCATTGTAAAGCCAGAATTATAAACAGCCATAGCACTTTTTTCCCTGATGAATGCATAGCATTTCCTTTCTAAAAGACAAAATCATTCTCATTTTTCTAAAAGGAAAATAATGCACAGTGTTGGTAGAATTGTGTAACCTACAACCTGGGTGACTATATACAAATTAGTTGACTTCTTCCTTAAAGGATTGTGGGAAGGCCTGAGTGAGATAAAGCATGTATGAAAAAGTATCTGGTACATAACAAGTGATCAATATAAATCAGCTATTACTAAGATTTCAAAGTGATATTAAAATGGAATTATCCTTTTCCTCAATGTCACAGATGAAGCCCTAAGTTGAAGCCTTATACCCACATTACTAAAGTGAGGTATGAGAGTCCCAGTTCAAAGCATCCAAAGAAAATAGTCAAGAACCAATTTCTAATCCTGAGCTGACCACCCACCACCAGTCTAAAAAAGAGGTTGAAGAAGAAAGAAGGAAATAGGTGGAAGATTTCTTAAAGGAGTCATATTGTACTGTTTTACTTACCCTCCTCCTTGTGAATTGGACTTGTCCTTCTTTCTCACCTCAAACCTATGGGAAAAGACTTCAGTGGAACTAACTCCCTAAAGAGCTTCAGAAGTGCCTTCTTGCACTTGGGAAGCCATGTACTGGACTCTTTGTAACCCCTGCAAGATTCAAAATGCTGGAGTCTGTGGCCAGTTAGCAACTTTGATGGCAAAGCAAGAAAGGTGGCAGGATTGGGAATGTATTCTCACAGCTTGTCAGAGTAAGAGATACGTGACAGCTTCCCACAGACCCATGTGTGTCCTGTGTATGAGCAGAGCTGGTTTGGTGATGTTTTGGATATTGGAGTTGGGGACAGTAAGACCTCAACAGAAAGATGCTAAAACTGTTCAGCTGGATATTTAGAGGCTTAAAGTGATCCCAGAGGAAATACTTAGCCCATATCAAGTAATGCTGAGTTCCTGAAAAGCCATGAAATCACCCCGTGAAAAGAAGAGTCAGTTTGCAGCCCCTGCTGAATCTGGCAGCATCTATGCCAGCTTTGTATGTTTCTCTATCAAGTCAACTTTTATCCCCCTTGCATTTATAACCTGAGACCCTGCATCCCTCAGCCTTGGAGGAACCTGAGGCAACCTTCTGAGCTAAAGGGATAAAAGAAAACCCTAGAAGAAAAGCAAGAGCCCTGGGCAGAGGAAAAGAGAGGAGCCTACTGAACTCTCTTTTCTCACAGCAAATAGGCAGCCCAAGCAGATCTGACCTGAGGGAAGGGAAAAAACTAACTTTTAATTAAGTTTGGAGATAATTGAAAAATTATTTTATTATCCTGCATAGATTAATGGCATAGAACTTTTATGTATCTAGGAATGAGAGTAAAGAACTCTTTTCAGCTTGAAAGAAAAGAAGAGAAAGCTAGGCCATAAAGAAGAGCTGTGTTTACGTCACCTTTCCATTTCACAGGTGTGCATGACTCAGAAAGATGACCGTAGTCCCCAAACCCAGAGAACATAAGTTGTCACAACCAGCATGTGAGCTGTTTGAATGCTTCTCCAGGGCTGGTCCATTCCTTCTTTTATGCATGGAATCAGAATATGAAAACCAGCTTCAGGCCTTCCTCCCTGGGTTTTCCATCACTGCTATCATAATAAACGGTACCTACTATTTATACAGATCCTCTTCAGACTACAGACTAATCAAAGTTCGCCTCATAACAAATGGAGGTTCAGCTTGGCAACTGACATAAATATTTATGTTTAAATATGGGCATTTTTAAGATCATCAACAAATCTAAAAAATATTCTGATCTGTGCTTTTCATTACAGTTCTCATGCTCTGCAGCCCAACAGAGGCGTGGGCAGGAAATATCTGGCAATTTATTACAATGTAAACTACAGGAAGCATAAACTAGAAAGGCAGTGGGTATAAACAGGAAGAAAGGCAGGGAAGGGGCAGAGGAGTCCTCCCCCACACATGACACAGTGTCCTTGGTGGGAAGTTAGGCCTTTATTAATGCTCAGTTGAAATCCTAATTAGTTTGGAATTATACAGCTCCTTTTTCCTCAGAGAACTAGAGAATCTTATTAAACAAAAATGCTTTCTTATTCAACTCATTTTCAGTGGAATACCATATTAAGAGTATCCTGAAACCTTTGCATACCTAAAGGTTATTTCTGCAGGATTGCTGGTATGTGTTGGAAAATATAGTCACTGCTGCAAGGAGATGGCCATCCACTTGGAGAGAGAAGGCATGTATACAAATAGCAACAGTGTAAGGTAGATCATAAAAAGTACCACAGTCAGGAGGAGTGGAATGTATGGGAATAGAGGAGGAGATTGTTTCTAACTCAGAAAATCTGGGAAAGCTTCTTGAAGATGCATCACTTTTGTGTTTATATTCTTAGCACAGTGTGTAAAACAGATGGTCCTGGAGTGTTTAGCAGTATGGGACTACTCAATGTGTCTTTTCAAGTCTCACAAAGCCAGACTTTAGATGCCCTGCAACTTCGCTTGGATCCATTTTACATTACAGAAACATAATTGCACCTTTATTACAATGCCAGGTAATTTTGCTGAATGCCAAGAATGTAGCAGAGAATAAAACAGACCAAATAATTTTTGATGGAGCTAGTCAGGTTCAAAGAAAAGAAACAAGTAAACAAATAAACACATTATAGATTGTGAAGGTGTCGCTCAGAATGTAAACAGGTAATGAGAGAAACGGGGAGGAAGGGTGATTTTGGACAGTATGGTCAACAGAGTTCTCTGAGAAGTGTGAAATGAAACTAGAGTGATAAGACTTAGGCTGTGATGTGAAAAACTGGTTAGAGAGTTGTCCAGGGAGAGTGAATAGTAAGCAGAGACGGCCAGGAATGAAAATGGGCTAGGACTGTTCAAAAAACAAACAAAACAAAGCAACTGCCAATCCAGAATTCTATATTCTACAAAAATATCCTTCAAAATTGAAAGTGGAATAACAACATTTTCAACAGACAAAAACTAAGAATAGTTTGCCAGCAGACCTACATTACAGAAATGCTTATAAGGTTCTTCAGGTGCAAAGCAAATGGCACCAGATGTAAACTCAGATCTAGAGGAAAAAATGAAAAATACCATAAATGATTAATATATGGGTATCTATCTTTTTTATTCCTCTAAATTTATTTGAAGACAGAAAACAATTAAAAAAAAACCGATAACATCGCATTGTGTATTATGGTGTTTATAATGTATTTATACGTGTTAAATATATGACAACAATAGCACAAGAATGGGTACAAGTAGAACAATACTGTTAAAAGATCATATTTTACATAAAATGGTAAATATTAGTTATAAATAGACAGCGGTCATTCAAGGATGAATATTATAATTCCCTAGAAACAAATACAAAAATATAAAGCTAAAGAGCCTATGGAAAAACTACATAGGATAATAAAAAATATTTGACCAACCCAGAAGAAGGCAAGAAAAAATAGGAAAATAGAAAACAGATGGAAAAAATAGAAAATAAATAGCAAATGGTTTAGTTAATTTCAACCACATCAATAATTATATTATATATAATTGGGCCAAACATTTAAAAGGCAGAAATTATCAGTCTAGATAAAAAGCAAGATTTAAATACATACTGTCCCAGAGGTATATTTTGTACACTTATAGGTTAAAAGTAAAGGGATAGAAAAAGACATACCATGCAAGCAATAAGCATACGAAGTGGAGGTGCCATGTTAATATCAGGCAAAATAGATTTCAAGATAAGAAATATTGCCAGATATAAGGAGGGTGTTTTATAATGATAAAGTGAGGAATTCCTCAGGAGAACCTAACAATTCTAGTGCAATTTAGCTAATAATAAGGCTTATGGATACATGAGACAAGAACTGATAGAAAGAGAGGAAGAAATAGACAAGTCCATAATAATAGGAGATTTTGACATTACTCTCTCAGTAGTTGATAAAA